TTTATCACATGAAATTGAAATAGGAAATACCTGTGAGATGGATACTTATCCTTTATGGAAGAGATAAGCATTTTTTCAACTTTTTGGTCAGTAGCAGTTACCAAATCAACTGGGGAACTTTTAATCATAATATTCCTCTCATTTTTTAGAGCTTCACGAATCACCTAAAAAGAGTTTTGGTGAGCAAAGAGAAAAAGCATAAGTCATTGTAAATCAAAATAAAAGAGGAACTAAAGAAATGGTTTGAAACATTCAACCCCTCTTAAATGATATTCTTAAATATTTCTGACATTCATGTATATAAATAAACCCATAGTGGTTATGATCTCAGTATTAAATCACAGAGTCTTACATCCTATTTTAGATTCACAACTGTCATCACAAAAAGTTTAACGACATAAAATGGAAGTATTCACTCCATTAAAGTTTGGCAAAGTGGAAAAAAATACAGATTAATTAAAATACATGTTTTATGTAACAAGGCAACCACACACTGTCCACATCCATCACATCATGGCTGACAAGATGTCAGTTCATACCTCTCCTGCTTTTCTCGCGAGGGTTACTGCATAATCCATGCATTCCTGCCAAGGATCGGCCATCTGTTGAATGGATTTAACGCATATAAAGCCAAAGCAGTTACCAATCTCTCAAAGTCTTAATTATACAATAGTTACTTCACAAAATCATCTCAATTTGCAAAACACTCACTCAGGATTCACCCTTTCTCATTCTAGAGTTCAACTGTTTTCAATATTCACTCATAGGTCCATGAAGAAACATTTTTTAACTAAATTACTTCACTTCTTTGTAGAAATATTTCCATAACAAAAAGGACTGTATAAAAGTGTCTCCCAAAGTGCCCATACGATATCACATTTTAAAAAACAATAGTTTGGAGAATGGAGGCGAAAGGACATGAGAAATATTTTAAAAGATGGGTGCATGTTTGGATTAAGAATAAAGTAAAAATTAGAGAGAGAACACGGGTAACACAGCCCTCAGTACCTGCAGTTTTGGCCATCTGTGGATTCAAACGATCATGGATGGAAATTAAAGAAGCTCTGAAGGGAAGGAGCAGAAGCACAGGTACTAACTGAAGGTCAGGTAGTTCGGTGTTTATACGTGTGACTTTATTTTTAATGAGGTTGTAAAGATGAAGAACTTAAAGCCCAGCGATTTGAGCAGAGAACACTCAGAATTCAAACTCAATTCTGGATCTAAAGTCCCCTGATCTTTCTATCAGAACATTCCGAGGCAAGAAAATTCCGGGACTTCAAAAAAAAAAAATTAAGCAAAAAAGGAATTTATTCCTCCAAGTTTCAGAGAGGGAAAAAAAAAACAAGCTATTTTTGTCCTCTGAACTGTCCAGTTTTCCACTGACTTCTGAAGAGAAGACTGAAATAACTCAACACTGGCTTGACCACACTCTAAAATCTGTACCTAAGACAGTGACACTTTTTAAGCTGTCAGACTCCAGAAAAATGTGGCATCATTTATAAAGCAACTCTAATTTTGTCCTTTTATAGCTGAGAATAACTGACGCGGAGATTCCCCTTGAAGACCGGGTTGCAAATCACAATCACGGCGCCCAAAGTATAGGAAGGGGGAGGGAAGGGGAAAGGGGGAAAGGAAAGGGAGGGCAAAGGACAGATACCTGGAGCTGTTTCTGCCAGTCACTTCTTCCTGATATAAGCGTTTAAATCATTTAAAAAGGCAGCCACTTTTCGAGCTATTGAAGTAACTGCTTAGAGCATTTCAAGAATTGTTTCCAAACTCTTTTTTGTTTGTTTGTTTCATTCTTACTCACTCCCATTTCTCTCTTCTAGGGCTTAACAGAATTAGGTGTTCTCACAATGAATCTGCTTTCTAGCCAGAAACTTTGCTTAGGCCCCTCATCCCTCCCTGTTCTAACAGCGCTGATATATTATCACTCCTACCAATTCTTCCAGGCTCATTTCAAAAGCCACCCTTTCGTCCAAGGGGTCTCCACCCAGAAGTCATAATTTGTTTAACCATTCGAGAGCTGTGTGCCAAATACCTATTATACGTGCACTGCATCATGGTGAAGAAAGACACGCCAGGTTGACATTTACTCTCCAATGGGGAGACAGATACTAATAAAAAAAGAATCACAGACTACCTGCAAAATCACACATTTAATAAAGGCTAAGTAGGAAAGTGCATTGAGAAGCATGTAACAGGGGACCTCTGACCTGGTTTTAGATATTAGACCTGGTTTCCCTAGGGACATCATTCAACCAAGCTCTGATGGACAAGTGAATGGTATTAACTAAATCAACTGCAGGACTCCTGGTATGTGCAGAGTAACTGAAAGGCCCAATTGTGACAGTTCAAAGATCAAGGCAAACGGGGAGGGATGAGGCTGGGGAGATAGAGGGATCATCCCATGCAGGGCCTTAGAGGTAAGGTTTCAATTCAAGAGCCATGAGATTATCGTGACATCCCGGCTATTGAACAGAATGGACTGGAGGGTGGAGGGAAGAGTGGAGAGTGGGCTGTTTGCTTTGGGGGGTAACGTTGAGGGGAGGTTAGTATTAGATTGGGTTTGGGGTAAGAGGGAGAGGAAGAGTTTAATGATGCCAGATTTCCCAGTTTGGCAACTGAATGGATAATGGTGACATTGACTAAAATAGGAGCAACAGAAAGGCGTCAAATTTGGGATTTGGACAGGAGGTGGGGAGATCAAGAGTTTAACTAGTAGAGGATGAGGAGGAGCCTTTGTGAAACCACAAGGAGATGTCAATTAGGCAGCTGAATATATGGATCCTGAGCTCAGAGGAGAGGTACGGCGAGCAGATAGAAATATGTAAGTCATCTGAGTAGGTACAATCTAGTCCTAGGTTTGAATGACACTCCTTAGGAGGGAACATGCCCAGAGCAGCTCGGAGGGTATTTAAGCCTGAAAGACCCTATAAAACTTTGTACATTTCTCTCAGGGCCTCAGAACTATCTTCCTTCCACTTTGGTCATTTGTGTGCACGCCTTATATTCCCAACCAGCTTTGAGTATCATGTCCTTAAGGAAGGGAGCATATTTTGTCCACCTTCACTATCTCAAAGACAAACATCTGCAACATTTCCAACTGTTTCTGTCCTGGTCACTGCGGTGGGAGCCATGCCACCTTCCTGTCA